GGTTTTCAAAATGTGGCTCTCGCTTCAGCGCCGCGCACACTCTTCTTAAACATTTGCAAGAGTTTCACCGGTGGAGGGCGGGTCGTTTTCAAAATGTGGTTCTCGTTTTGGAGGCGTGCACATTCGTTTTTAAAAGCTTGCAAGAGCCTGACAGATTGAGGGTGGGTGGTTTTCAAAATGTGGCTCTTGCCTTAGCGCCGCGCGCATTTGTGATAACAAATGGCAGTCGTTTCACATATTGAGGGCGGTTCCTTTTCAAATTGTGGCTCTCGCTTTAGCGCCGCGCACACTCGTTGTAACAAATGCAAGAATTCCACGGGTCCCATGATCTGCGTACCACAGAATTATTTTATGTGGGAAAGATTCAGAATTATGCGGGCGCAACAGTTCTGTTGATTGGCGGTGCTGAATTCAAAAAAAAAATGGCGTTAAGGCACGATTCCAGATCGCCAAAACGCAGAAGTCAGGATGACCCTGGCGTTAAACATCCCGAGAACAAGGTTCTGGCATGCTTCAGGATCTTCAAACGGTTGTCTTCCAACGAGGCACTTCCCCCAATGGAAATGAACCGGTGTATGGGGCCTGCGAAGAAGGAACTTGGAGGGAGGGTTAATTCCAACATCGTTGATGACTCTGGGGTCTACACTGGTCGTCCTCTTCCTCCTGCTCCTCCTCCTGCTCCTCCTCCTCCTCCTCCTCCTACTACTCCTCCTCCTCCTCCTCCCCCTCCTCCTCCTCCTTCTCCTCTCCCCCCCATCCAAGTCATAGCCATTGCCAATGGCGCAGACACGCTAGGCCCTTTCCGAAAAGCTGCCATCCAGGGATCAGGGTATCTCAGGGCACCCTGGCCAGCGCAGTGAGGCGGATGGGCGGAAGAGCGGGGCAGGAGGTTTCGCGTTCGGCCCGCTCGCGGTCTAGCCTTGAGTGTGGCCCAGTGGTCGAGACGGCGCATTTCTGGAGGAGCGCCCGCAACGATCGTCAACTCGGCCCGGACACTTCAGACGCCAATCCGACCCCAAGACTACCTTCGCTACAGCTCCAACGCATCGTTCGCCAAGACGAAAGGAGCCGTCAACTCGGCCCCGTCATTTTGTACGTCAAGACCGAATTCGTTTTCAAATGTCAGCTCGGCCCCCACGCTCTGTTCGCCAAGACGGAGGGTGCGGCGAGGGTAGCCGTCACGGGGTTCGTCAACTCGGAGGAAGGCCGTTTGGGCGGTTCGTCACCCCAGAGGGAGAGGGGGGCTCGTCAAAGGGGGTTCATCAACTTGGAAGGGGACCGTCAAGGGTGATCATCGAGTCGGAAGGAGGCCGCCAAGGGGGTTCGTCAGCTCGGGAGGAGACTGTCCAGGAGGTTCGCCAAGTCGGAGAGTTGACGGCCAAAGCCCCTCTTCAGTAAGCGAGAGAGAGAGAGAGAGAAAGAGAGAGATGGCGGCCAAATGTTTTCACCGAGACGGAGCCTGCGGCTGCAACGTAGAGACGCACAGGCCCACACCTCCAGACCAGCCGCCGGCGACAGACTCAAAGTCCCAGCCCCAGACCTGCCGCCGCCGTGGGGGGGGGGGGGCACGGCGGAAGGTGTCTTTGGCCGCCTTCGGCCTCGCCGCCCCCCGCGGGAGCTCCAGGAAAAAGCGGCGCGGGATGGGGAGCCAGCCTCGTGAACTTCCAACTTACCTGAGCCTCGATCACCAGACAAAAAAAATTAGCACCAAGAGAGTATACCGAAACTTGAGGGCTCTCACGCGCCGGGCCCTGGGAGGCGAGACTCGGTCGACACTGCCTCGATACTTGTCCGGGTGCTCGAAAAACTATTGATGGGACGCGGTCCGTGTAGAGTACGAGGGGGGCAGCATCGAGCCAGCCCAGGGGGATCCCGACGTCGGCTGTCTGGGAGACCCCGGCGCCGGAGGATGGGGAGACGAGGCGACGCGACGCGGAGTCGTGGCGGCCGTTCTCTCTGCGTCGCGGAGGCCGCGCCCCGGCCCACCAGGGCCGCCCACAGCGCACATTGTTCAGTACACAATGAATCGTCGATTCCCAAAGAAATATGGGAAAATATGGGACTTGGGCGAGAAGGCAAAAACCCAGAAAATATGGGAAAAATATGGGGGATATTCTTATTTGTGTGTGTATTTATTTGTGTGTCCTGGGGCCCCTTCAATTGTGGGTCGCCCGCCGCGGGGAGGAGGCCGAGCTCCCGGGGGGCTGACCTCACACGCCAGCGAGCGCCGCCGGAGGATGGGGGAGGAAGGCCGCCTCAGGCGCGCGACGTCCTGACTTTTGTCAGGACGGCGTCCCCGGAAGTCCAGACCCTTTCCCCGCGGGGCCGGTTTTTTTCATCCTGAGTCGTGTTTGTGGACGGTCCCGAGGCCCGGCGAGGGCCCCCCGAGCCCGAAATTGGCAAAAAAAACCTCCGGCCCTCATTTTTTTACGCCGCGAGCATGTCTTTGGGGGAGGAACGCCGCTGTGCGCTCGTGAGGATGAGGGGGGGGCGAACAGCTGGGAGGGAGGTGCGCGGCGTTCCACGCAGGGCCTCGCCGCGTGCGCGTCCTCGGCCGCGGCGGAAGGGAGAGGCGGCGGCGGGCCTGGGGACGGAAGGTCGGAGCGGAAGGCGGCCGGCGTGGCAGGGAGTCGTCCTCGTGCAGATGGCAGTGCACGAGCACCAGCCCATCAGCAATGGCAGGAAGAGGAGGTGGAGGAGGAGGCGATAGAGGAGGAGAAGGAGAAGGAGCTAGAGGAGGAGGAGGAGGTGGAGGAGGAGGAGGAGGTGGAGGAGGAGGAGCAGGAGGAGGTGGAGGAGGAGGAGATAGAGGAGGAGGGACGAAGAAGGAGGAGGAGGAGGAGGAGGAGGATGAGAAAGGAGGAGGAGGGGGAGAAGGAGGAGGAGGAGGAGGAGGCAGAGGAAGCACGGAAGCCGTGAGGGGATGTGGCGGGGGGAGAGTGAAGAGGAGGAGGAGGAGGAGGAGGAGGAGGAGGAGGAGGAGGAGGAGGAAGAGGAAGAGGAAGAGGACGGGACGAAGACGAGGATGACGAGGAGGAGGAGGAGGAGGAGGAGGAGGAGGAGGAGGCGCAGCAGCAGGACTCGCGGGCGTCTTGGCCCGAAGCGCTTCACCAGTGCCACTCCGCGTGCATAACTATATCTCCGTGGTCGTCTTGCGGCCACCCCCAGGGCCAGAGGGGGGGGTGGCAGCAGTCAACGGGGCAGGCCACCCACGGGCCCCAGGCAGCCAATACGACCCGCAGCCGGGGACCGGCCGATCCCGAGGGTTCCTCAGCTCCTGTGGGGCCTGCTTCACTGGTGCTGTTTCCGCCGTCCCTGTGACCCCTGCTCTCAGAATCGGCCCCGGGGCTGAAGCCTTGAGGCAGGGGGTGCCCGTGCATCCTCGGGCTCCGAGCGCGCCCGTTGTGTCGCCTTCTGCATGCCACGCCCACTGGAGGTTCCGGACCTGGCGCGTTCCAGGTGCCCCCTGCGCCCTCACACCTCGGGCCGCTGGGCCCAGGACGGGCCTGGCCAGGGGCGGTGTCCATGACTGGAGCTCGCCGCCCGAACACCCCACCCTCACGACTGCTTCTGCCAGGGGCTGGCGGCGCGCACAGAGGGGGGCGGCGCGTTGAGGGGGGTGTTCTCGCCACCAGGGAGGGGGGGGGGTCGAAGAAGGCCGCGGCGTTTTCAGAAGCCCTCCCCGGCGCCTAAGCGGCCTCCCTGGACACCGCGGGGCCCTTCCGAGAAGGCCCCCGCCGTCCAAGGGGCTCCCCGCCCCCCGCTGGGGGGGCGCCGCCCCCCTCGAGCCGCGTGTGCCACGCGCGTAGGCCGCGGCGTAAGGTGGCTGTGTCGCGGCGCGCAGAGCCCGGCGCGTTTCGTCGCGCAGGTGCGCGCCGCCAACTGGGATGACCACGGGGACTGCTGAGTGGACAGGGGGTATAGTTGAGCGGATGTCAGGGCTACTACATCCGACCAAACCTGGCAGGAGGGGGTTGAAATCAGAGGACGACCCACCTGGGCCGGACACCTGGCGTGTGCCAAACGGCCCTGGGCGTTTACGATACAGCCCTGCCCTGTTCGATTTCCTCCTTGGGCGCGTTTGCTGAACGACCTCGCGTGTCGGGGTGGCCGTTCTGGGGGGTGGCTCTCCTGGTTTCTGTGACAGTGATCGCAGTGGTCTTCGACGACCTGGGCTGTAGGTGGGCCTTGCCCAGAGAGCGGACTGAGCCCCCCCCTAGCTAAAACAGGGCTAGGATCGGGATAAATCGCTCCAGAGCGTTCCGGAGCGCTCTCAGAGCGTTCCGGAACGCTCTGGAGCGGCCGCGGCGCCCAATACATTCTCCAAACCGGCTGATTCTCAGAGATTTCGAGTTATCCCGATCCGATTTTGTCCCGATCTTCGCGTCGTTTTACTAGCCGACCGGAGCAGCTCCAGCCCACGTGTCAGCCAGGAGGTGGCACGGCCAGGCGCAGGCACCTCTGGCAGCCGCTTCCAGCCCCCCCCCTGTCCGCTCTCCGCAGCCCCCGCGGCGGGCCCACAGCCACGGGGGCCAACGCCCGGACGTCCAACGAGCCAATGGTTGTTCCCATGCTCGGGGGCGGCAACGAGGGGGGTGATGACTAGGGGGGGGGGATATCATGGCGGGGGCCATGATGTTTCCCACATTTCACGGCGCCTCTTCTTATTTCATTGCGTCCCTGGCCCCCCCGCTGGCCCGCGCACATGCCGCCGGTCATGACTTGCACCCCCCCCATCTTTGACGCCCCCCTCTTTGCCGCTCCCGACATGCGCGGCCCCTCGAGGTCCCGACCCCTTCCCTGGGGATCGTTCCTGGCCCCGGATCCGCTCGGCATGGCCCCGGGGCCGGCGGGGGGGGGCCGCCGGCAGCCGAGATCTCGAGGAGCAGAGCTCCCGGACCGAAGGAGTCGCACCGTCGGAGGCCTCTGGGAACGGGAGGGGGGGCCGCACGACCACGGCCCGTATCTCACTACCGTGCCCGTCGTTCGTGTCGGCCGCCATGCCCGTCCGCATCTGGGCCGCGGCGGCGGCGCTGCTCGCGCCGGCGGCGGAGGGGCTCGCGGCCCAGGCGCCCCACCCGCGGGTCCCGCCTCGATCCCGGGGGCGGGGAGAGGAGAGTGTCCATGGCCACCGCCAGGGGGATCGATCTGTGCGGACCTCCACAGGCGGTGGTCATGATAGATTCGGGCGTCCAGGGCTCACCGATTCTCTCTCTCTCTCTATATATATATATGTATATGCATATCCACATGTATGTATAAAACTATATTTGTACATATCTGCACACTCATACACATGTAAATATGTATATGCATATGCTTGCATATATCCATTTACATGTGTGTATACATGTATATATATATATATAGCCCTGTGCATCCACCAAGAACCCCCCTTTCTCATGATTATATATGATTTTATGTATGATTCCTACGATTTTCGGACTCACTTTTGAGGCTCTTTTTTGGAAGACTTTTTGGGCTCCCTTCTACTCAACTCCCTCCGTCTCCAACACAACACCCATTACTCAACAGCCTCCTTCTCCAACACAACACCCGATACTCAACAGGCTCCCTCCCCAAGCTGAACTTGAAAAGAACCTTCTACTCAACTCCCTCCGTCTCCAACACAACACCCAGTACTCAACAGCCTCCTTCTCCAACACAACACCCGATACTCAACAGGCTCCCTCCCCAAGCTGAACTTGAAAAGAACCTTCTACTCAACTCCCTCCGTCTCCAACACAACACCCAGTACTCAACAGCCTCCTTCTCCAACACAACACCCGATACTCAACAGGCTCCCTCCCCAAGCTGAACTTGAAAAGTACCTTCTACTCAACTCCCCCCGTCTCCAACGCAACACCCAGTACTCAACAGCCTCCTTCTCCAACACAACACCCGATACTCAACAGGCTCCCTCCCCAAGCTGCACCAATAACCCCCCTTGCTCATGATTATGTATGAATTGTTATATGATTCCCACGATTTTCGGACACACTTTTGAGGCTCTTTTTTGGAAGACTTGTTGAGCTCCCTTCTACTCAACTCCCTCCGTCTCCAACACAACACCCAGTACTCAACAGCCTCCTTCTCCAACACAACATCCGATACTCAACAGGCTCCCTCCCCAATCTGAACTTGAAAAGAACCTTCTACTCAACTCCCTCCGTCTCCAACACAACACCCAGTACTCAACAGCCTCCTTCTCCAACACAACACCCGATACTCAACAGGCTCCCTCCCCAAGCTGAACTTGAAAAGAACCTTCTACTCAACTCCCTCCGTCTCCAACACAACACCCAGTACTCAACAGCCTCATTCTCCAACACAACACCCGATACTCAACAGGCTCCCTCCGTCTCCAACACACACACATGTACTCCAGATCCTACCACCACAACACGACGCGACACCCGAAACTCCAACCGCACCCGCCCCCCTGTTTTTCTTGGCATTTTCCAAGAGAAAAGGGGGGTTCATGGTGGGTGCTGCGGCCTCTATATATATATATATATATATATATACATATGTGTAAATCCCATATATCCACCGCCCGCTGGGGCACCAGGACGTCGCTTCCAAGGCGGTGGATCTGGATAGATCCCCGCCTCGCAGCCTCGGGCCCAGGATCGTGAGAGTCATTTGCCCAGATGTGCCTGTCCTCTTGGCATGGCCATCGCTCTCCTGCCACTCGAGGGACAGACCACGCCATACACAGCAACCGTCCGAGCTCCGCGCGGAGTTCTTGGATCGGCGCTGGGCCCCCCTGGCGCTCTCCGCGCCCAGGGACAGGGTTCAGCGCAGATCCCGGAGATCCGCGCGGACCTTCGAAAGCCTATGCTCATGCTTATGTTGTTTGTTGCTCCTCTATCTACGCCGTTGTCGGGTTCATGTGCCTGTCCCGTGGTGCTGCTTGACGGTCTGCACGGTCCGAGGGCTCTCTGGCCGTTCCGCGGCCGCCTCCTCCTTCCCTGTTGCCCCTCCTCCTCCGCGCCCCGCCGCCAGCCGACCGCTTGTTGGATCCAACTCGCCGCGGACCAGAGCCGTGTACACCCAGGCGCGCTCTGGCTGTGTAAACAGGCGTGGCGGCCGGGTGACCGCCGTTTTCCGCCTCCGGGGGCATTCGCCGGGCCTTGAAGCCCTCCGCGAAGCTCAACGCAAGCTTTCCCGCCCTTCCTCCCCCGTGCCCCCAATTTCAATGTTCCGTGGCGCGCGCGGCGCGGTAGGCGGACGCCGACGGCAAAAAGCAAGTCGCGTGCGTCGGCGTCAGCATTGAAATTTGGGGGTCGGGGGGTGCCGACGCGGCGCGGCAAGAACTTGCGTTAAGTTTCGCGGAGGGCTGTGGCCGGCTAGCCGTAAGAGTGACCTTTCGCCGGAGTGACCTTTGGTGCGGGCACAGATGGGTCCCCTGATGGATGAAAGCGAAGCAGAATCAACGGCTTGCGCGCCCAGGTTTGGTCCCCCAGCGGCCCCCAAAAAGCCGCGCACCAAAGGTCACTCATACCCAGGGTCACTCTTGCGTGTAGCCGACAACTGATCTCTCGGATTGGAGCCGCACCCCACCGTGGCGGCGCCGCCCCTGCGCCGCCCCCGGCGCGCCACTCCGCGTGCCGGGGAGCGGGGCGCAGCGCCGATCCGAGGAGTCCGCGCCGACTTGGAGCAGCGCGTGCTGCTGGCATGAGTCGCGTGTAGCCGATGTGGGACCTTTGAGACAGACGTGCTCCCGTGTCGAAGGATTCGCGACGGGCGACTCTTCGTCGTTCTCGGCCTCCGGGGGCCTGCGCCGTGCCCCCCGCGGGCCGTCGGCAACAGGCTCAGGACGAGAAGCCCCGGCCCGGGGAGGGGGTCGGGACTTCCAGGGAACCCGCACGGAGCAAGGCGAGACGTCGGGCGACTTCCAGGCTTCGTTCGCTGTCTTGAAGTTGGGTTGGGCATCTTGGGCATCTGGGCGGCGACGGAGGTGTAGTCAGATTTGGGGGGCGCCGGGGCCGGGACCTGGCCCCTGGGCCACGGCCGGGGCCCGAGCGGGCGGATGTCTGGGCCGGTGTTTGCTTCCTCGTTCTGCCGATCGGCGCGGGCTTTCGCCTCGCCCCCCCCCCAAAAATTCCCCCCCCACACCCCCCCCGTGGAACAGATCTCGGCTGCTCTAGGCGCCCGTTCTGGGCAGGTGGGGTCTTTCCCCCACAGAACGCACTGCAACAAGCAGTCGCATGGAGCAGAGGTCTGGAGCCAGACCCTCCCTCCCTCCCACCCCCCCCACCCCGGTTCCGCCCACTGTCGAAACGCCGAACAAGAAAACGTGCGCTATGTCCTCACGGCCAGGTCAGGGGGTCGTTTTGTGCGCGGGCTCTGGACTCGGGACGGGCCCAGCCAGCGGATCTTTGTGCACCCAGAGACCCGATGCACCGTCAAGACGGCGAACAAAAAGGACCGCTCTGGGTAAGGAAGGGGTTCGCTGTTGGGTCATTCCGTGGTTGTTCCTCTAGCCCTAATCGTGCACCCAGGCTCTTTTTGTGCCCGAAAGGGTTTCTGTTATTAGTTACCGTTCCTTCTTTCAGCAGCCCTCTTTTTTTCAATACGGGCCCCCGAGAAGTATGGACCCCTTTCCGGGGACCGCCCTCTTGTCCCGAGCCGTCTCTGTTGACGGCCCCGGGGCCCGGCGAGGGCCTCCAGAGGCCGAGAACGGCGACGAACCTCCGCCGCGAACCCCTCCCAAAATACAGTCAACCCGCATAGTAAGGATAGGCAACCTCCCCAAGGGTACCCTTGCATCCTTGCCTCCTCGGTCCATCCTTCGCCGCTCTCGCTGGCCGCGCCCCGCTCGGAAAGCTTCGAAGTGGGCGTCCAAGGCCCTTGCATCCTCATTGCGCATCCCTACTATACTGGTTGACTGCACGCTGGATCTCCGAGCGCGTGCGCCGTCTGCTGCCTCCACGTCTGCCCTCCGCACCCGCCAGTCCGTGGGGAAGGGGCGCGCCCCCCGAGGGCCCCCCCTCCCCACGGCGCGCGTCGGGCGCGCGGGGCGCCCCCCGCCCCCCCCCCCCCCCCCCATTCGGGGCTTTGGCGGGCGCGCGCCCGCCGCCCCACCGCCCCGCGAGAGCCAGGAGGGAAAAACGCACACACAGGCACCACGAGTCGTCGACCCCCTGCAAGAGGTGCGTGAAATTCAGGAGGGGGAAAAACACAGACACAATTAATCGTCGACTGCCAGGAATATATGGGAGCATACTGGAATTTGGAGGGAGGACGAGAACCCAGAAAATATGGGGCATGGTTTTATTTGTGTGTATTTAGTTGTGTGTCCCAGGGCCCTTTCATAAATATTGAGAAGCGGGGGGAAGGCGAAAGCCCAACACACATGCGGAATTCGTGCCTGCCGTCCGCGGCGCCGCGGCGTTGTCCGCCGGGCGCTCCAAGGGCGTGGGCGCGGCTGCGCCGGGCGCGGGCGGCCCCTGCCCGCCCTCCCTCCCTCCCCTCGTGCGCCCTGTCGTCTCCGTCTGTCGTCAGTCGTTTTCGTCCGTCGTGCGTCGTGCCACTGGGCTCCTTCGTGCAGGTAGAAAACAAGTGTTTTCCCCAACCCTCCTTGTGTTGGGCACTCGTTTTGAATAGAGCACTTTGGTATCCACCTCCCGCCCTCTCCTCCGTCTTCTCTCCTGTGTTCGCGGTGCCCTGCGGGGCTGCGATCTGCGCAACTGTCGCCACTTCGTGGGCTCCTGGGAGGCCTAGCGGAGGTACGTCTTACGCAGACCGCTTTGAGGCCTCCCTGTCCCCTGCGGGGCTGCGATCTGCGCAACTGTCGCCACTTTCGTGGGTTCCTGGGAGGCCCAGCCGAGGTACGTCTTACGCAAATCATGTTGAGGCCTCCCTGTCCCCTGGGGGGCTGCGATCTGCGCAACTGTGGCCACGTTCGTGGGTTCCTGGGAAGCGAAGCGGAGGTACGTCTTACGAAGACCACTTTGAGGCCTCCCTGTCCCCTTGCGGGGCTGCGATCTGCGCAACTGTCGCCACTTTCGTGGGTTCCTGGGAGGCCCAGCGGAGGTACGTCTTACGCAGAAAACTTTGAGGCCTCCCTATCCCCATGGCGCACCTGGCGCGCACCTGGCGCACCTGGCGCGCACCTGGCGCGCTGAGCGCACATGGCGCACCTGGCGCACCTGGCGCGCACCTGACGCACCTGGCGCACCTGTCGCACCTGTCGCACCTGTCCCACCTGGCGCGCCTGGCGCGCACCTGGCGCGCACCTGGCGCGCACCTGGCGCGCTGGGCGCACCTGACGCACCTGACGCGCTGGGCGCACCTGGCGCGCACCTGGCGCACCTGGCGCGCTGGGCGCACCTGACGCACCTGCCGCGCCTGGCGCACCTGGCGCGCCTGGCGCGCCTGATGCAACTGGCGCACCTGGCGCGCACCTGGCGCACACCTGGCACACCTGGTGCAGCTGGCGCGCACCTGGTGCACCTGGCGCGCTGGGCGCACCTGGCGCACCTGCCACACCTAGCGCAGACCTGGCGCACCTGGCGCGCCTGTCGCACCTGGCGCACCTGGCGCACCTGGCGCACCTGTCGCACATGGCGCACATGGCGCACCTGGCTCACTTGGCGCGCACCTGGCACACCTGGCGCAACTGGCGCAACTGGCGCACCTGGCGCGCACCTGGCGCACACGTGGCGCACACCTGGCGCAGCTGGCGCACCTGGCGCGCACCTGACGCGCTGGCTTGCACCTGGCGCACCTGGCGCGCTGGGAGCACCTGGCGCACCTGGTGCACCTGGCGCGCTGGGCGCACCTGACGCACCTGGCACACCTGGCGCACCTGGCGCAACTGGCGCAACTGGCGCACCTGGCGCACCTGGCGCGCCCGGCGCGCACCTGGCGCACACCTGGCGCACCTGGCGCACCTTGCGCATCTGGCGCACCTGGCACACCTGGCGCACCTGGCGCACCTGGCGCGCTAGGCGCACCTGGCGCACACCTGGCGCACACCTGGCGCACCTGGCTCACTTGGCGCGCCTGGCGCACCTGACGCGCTGGGCGCACCTGGCGCGCCTGGCGCGCCTGGCGCCTGGCGCGCCTGACGCACCTGCCGCGCCTGGCGCACCTGGCGCGCCTGGCGCGCCACTGGCGCACCTGGCGCACCTCGCGCGCCTGGCGCGCCTTGCGCACCTGGCGTGCCTGGCGCAGCTGGCGCACCTGGCACACCTGGCGCGCACCTGGCGCACCTGGCGCACCTGGCACACCGGGCGCACACCTGGCGCACACCTGGCGCACCTGGCGCGCCTGGCGCGCCTGGCGCACCTGGCGCACCTGGCGCACCTGGCGCACCTGGCGCACCTGGCGCACCTGGCGCACCTGGCGCACCTGGCGCGCCTGGCGCGCTTGGCTCACCTGGCGCGCATGGGCTTCTGGGAGGCTCAGCGGAGGCATGTCCTACGCAGATCACCACTATACCATGGCGCCGAAATGTCCTTCGGTATTGAGTGGTCCTGAATGCAATTGCCACTTGTGTAGAAAAAGGGCTGGGTACGTTGCAGGATAATGTTGTTTCTTTGTGCGCCCCTGGGCCCCTTTACAGAGGACGGCCTCGCGGGGCGTGCCCCCCCCCCCCCC